AAGAAAGAGATCAATCAATAGGCTGTCCGTGGTTGCAGCGTCAGATACACAATTAGATCTAGAGTTTAAGAGGAAATGATTGACTCATAGAGAAAGTCACCTGCTCAGGCTGCATTGAAGGTAGGGTGTGTGCAGCTGTGCTTCAGGAGCAAAGAGAACCAAGCACACGCTGACCAACTCTCAGCTCACTTTTTCTCCACCTATCAGCTGAGTTCTTTCTCTTTTTGTTGACTTGCTAGACGTTGTCTGCAATAGCTTCCAAATGTTAGGCCTACAGTTTATTCATCATCTGTAGAAACTGATCATAAAATGACTGATCCAGGAAAGTCCTCCTTGATGTGACTTAGGTCAGGTGTCTCTCCCAGGACCAATCAACCGGAGCCTGGGGTGGATGGCTGGTGTCATACGGAGACCCCTCTCTCAGTCATGACATGAAGCAGTTTCCAGGAAGGTGAGAAGAAGAGAGACAAGATGGAGAAAGTTGCTAGGTGTACAGTCCCAAAAGTCAGAAATTAACTATAAGAGTAAGCAGAATTAAAATGGACTAAATGAAGTCTACAAGTCTATGTAAGATTTGGTGTATTTTAGCCTAATATTCTGATCATGTCAAAACATCAGTGGCTTGATATTGTCTTTGTCATCTCTATAAAGCCACCACTAATACTAGATGGAAGACACCGAAATTCCAGGTCACTCCACAGCCCTGGCCCTTGGATAGCCTCAATGGGATACTACAGAATCCTCCAGTAAATGCCTAAGGGGTCTTCCCATAAGTCTGGTGATGCAGATTTGCTCTCATGCCCATAAATGTCCACCTGCCAGGCCAGGCACGGTGGCTCACACCTGTAATCCCAGCACGTTGGGAGGCCAAGGTGGGTGGATCATCTGAGGTCAGGAGTTCGAGACTAGCCTGACCAACATGGAGAAACCCATCTCTACTAAAAATACAAAATTAGCCAGGCGTGGTGGCGCATGCCTGTAATCCCAGCTACTTGGGAGGCTGAGGCAGGAGAATCGCTTGAACCCAGGAGGCGGAGGTTGCAGTGAGCCGAGATCGCACCATTGCACTCCAGCCTGGGCAGCAAGACAGAAACTCCATCTCAAAAAAAAAAAAAAAAAAGGAAAGTCCACTTGCCAGGTGTCAAGCTCCTCAATGGGAGGACAGGTTGGGGAAAAGAGACAAAGATTGAAGAGAGAGCAAACTACAGATGCAGGGACATGGATCAGGAGGGGTGGTAGATACAATGGGATGTTGGCATGGAAGACAGAGCGGGCAGCTTTGCAGCTGTCCCAGGAGCAGGCTGTCCCTGGAACAGATCACCTCATGAGGTTTTTATTAGCCTGGGACTCTGAGATCTTTTCAGAGCCTCCAAACTCAGCCCCCTTGGTTTCCAAGCTGCCACAAGGTAGGTAGTGAGGCAACTAGGAAGGATCTGGGTCTTGCCTGCTCTTAGCAAGTCACTTACATCCTTGACTTCAACTTCCCCCTTTGTAAAATCATGGACTGTACTACGTATTGGCATGGTTTCTTCTCTCTCTACAGTGATAGCTTTTATCCCTGTAAAAACAGCTGACCTAGGCAGGTGGAAAGATTAATAAATTAACAGGTAACATTGAAACAAGAGACAAGCAAGACGGGAGGCAATCTTTTAAAAATCTTTTGAAGTCCCATTAAAATCTATGGTCGAGCCTGCCTCCACTAGCAAATTCTGACCAAATTTCATGGTCACCCCATAACTTTAACTGTAGAAACTTGGTAAAAGTCGAGAATTTGGAAGCCTTTACACAAACACTGCAATGATTTTTATTTCAAGAGATGAAGTATAAAAAGCACTGGTCCTACAGTGATTAACTGGCGTTTTATAGGCAGTGTTTCAAACAAGTGCTGTGCTGCGTGTGTTCAGTTACTGTAGTTATGATTTCATTAGCTTCTCTGATAAATAATGCAACGACTTTAATGATGCATTTCCTCTTTAAAAAACCCACAATGGAAACTCCATTTCATAAAGCAAGGAAGAACAATGACTTCTGTTTAATTTTTATTACTTTCAAATTAATCTGTGAGGTTTTAAAAAGTAAAAACCATCTTCTAAGGGGGAAAAAACGGAAAGAAAAAGGTTAACCTGTTTAAAAGGTGCAATCATTTCTGGGCGAGTAAAAAATGGATATAGGTCAAGAACCAGCGTGAAGGCTCCACCTTCCTCAATTCAGCCCTTTCTAGATCACAAAAGGAAAGTGGTCCTGCCAAATTAAAACCCTCCATAACAATAAAACCTGATTTAATGCAGTCATTATTTTTCCATTAAATCTGAATATCATCTAATGCATGCATGTTATTTTAAACCCACCACACTAATGCAAATCCAGCATTCCTTGTAAATCAAACCTAAACATTCCATCAGTTGTCATTACTGCTATTGACAATCACAATACCTCATCCCCAAGGACACCGTCCCCTCAATCCCTGACTCTAGAGATGAGAGGAAAAACTAAAGAAGATGCATTTTAATTTCCAATGGAGAGCTGCTTACTGAAGTGTAGAGGTTGGGTCAGTAACACCCTGGAGGTCTCAGCTTAATGTAGTTCAACATGTAACCCTTGCTTCTCCAGGCCACACTACACTGAGAAAAAATTTAAGGGTTGGCTTAGGAACAACCAGGGAAAGAGAAACTACTCTAAGTATTTAAACTAGAGGAAGTTTAGTGCTGGGAATTGGTGGCATGGGGAGTGGATGTGACTGGAAAGGCTGAGAAGCCCAACAGGGGATGGCGGTGCCACCCAGAGATTGGCAACTGCAGGGAACTGTTACCACACCTTGGTTGGAGGGACAGAGGGAAGATGAAGTTGTGTGAGGACCCATAGACCAGGGATTCTGGGAGGATTTTGGAAGCATACCAGATCTGTCCAGTGGGATTTGGAGTCATGGACTTAGAAGAGACACGATCACTGCTGGAGATGCTGCCTGAGGCACAGGGGTGGGACAAATGCCTCAGTCTCGCCCTTTCCTCTACCCTCCTAATTCCTGTGAGTGCCTCCCATGGGTCAGATCCAGCTAAGAGGTCAACTGACCTGAGAGCCTGGGAAATGCAGTCTGGGGCCATGTGTCCCACTGTGGCACAGAGTAGAGCTGGAGAAGGATGAGGAAACGGTGTGAGGACAAACAGCCCGGAGGCAGCAGAGACTAAAATCACATTCCTATTCTGTCCAGTGTCTGTCTTCCTGGGCTAGGCGCTCCAGCCCCTGCTTCCAGCCCCAATACAGACCCTTTGCTAAGAGTTACTGAAGCTTAGAGAGGGTTGTGCCACCTCCCGTCCCGCCCCAGTGTGGCAGCTCTTTTAATCTTTTAAGTTGCTGCTCCCCCATGTGCTATAGTACTTTCAACACCATGTGCTACAGCACTTTCAACACGCCACCACTGTGGGGTGGTGGGTATCGTGATTGACACCCCAGCACTTACTTAATTCACCCTCTATGGGGAAGTCATATGGTCTGGATGAGATTGTCCCCACCCCCTGCTCCAAGGTCAGGACTCGTTTGGTTCTGCGTAAGTGCCCCTCATCCACAGTGACCGGTTCAGAAATGGGCACATGCGACCAGCCTGGACAGGTCAGGGCAAAACATCATCGTCATGGTAGTGATTGATCCAGGGGCAGAACCTGTGTCTTAGGTGGGTTCAACCTGTGTCCTAAGTGGGCTTTTGTTCTGCAAACGGAGGAAAGAGAACCTACGGCTGGGGACACATGTGGCCCCAGGAACTGATGGCAGAGATTTGGCTACCAGCTTGAGGATGACGCAGTCACCTAGAGGAGGGCAAAACTAAGAGAACCACAGGGAAACCGAGCCACGGCCCGATGACAGCATGAGCCTTGAGAACAAACCAAGTCACCCTACTTTTGGACTTCACAATTACATGAGCTAATGAATTCCCTATAGCTTAAACCACTTGAGTGTTCTATTGCTTGCAACAAGAATCCTAACTGCTTTTGAGGAACCAAGTGATTCTTCAAAGGTTTGGCATATGGTAGACATTAATAAGCAATTTATTGCAGTTGTTTTCTTGTATAGCTACTGAGAAATTTATATCAAGTTTCCTGGAAGCTGGGATGGCAGTGATCTGGGACTCTTGTAGGACAACATCATCTTAAATCTGGTTCTCAGTACTCATGACCCACATTAAACCTATCTCCAACACAAGGTAGATACCCCTACCATTTCTCTCCACTTCAGGTGAGTTTCCCAACTTACAATTATAAATAAAGGGCTCAGTGGCAGCTGAGCATAAACTCAAGACCATAAACTTAAGAAATAAATAGAAAATACTTAAGAAATTTTTTTTGATAGGTGGCTTAAATGAAAGCTGTGTTTCATTAAGTATGAGGCGTGTAGACAGGTGATTGACTCCACTGACACCACGTGAATAAAATGTCTGTGGCAGGTTCTACTTGAAAATCACAGTGGAATGTCTCAGGCAGTGGTTCCCTAGGGGGGTGATTGTGTTCCATAGAGGACATTTGACAAAGTCTGGAGACCTTTTTGGTTCTCACAACTGGGAGTAGGGGTGTTACTGGTATCTGGGGGATAAAAGCCAGGGGTGCTACTGAACATCCTACAATACACAAAAGCCCCCGACAACAAAGAAATTATCCCAAGCTCCAAATGCCCACAGTGTTGAGCTTGAGAAACTCTGCTATAAGGTTAGGCCTTAATTAAACAAGTAGGAAAAAAAAAAAAAATCATATTAACATTTTTCCAATAGATTGAGTACTTCTATTTTTGGTTGCATATTTTTTAATAAAACAAGATGTAAATGGCTCAATGGAATTGTTATAAACAGTGAGATTTACCAGTGCTCATATTTTTTTATTTTCATTTTCTAGCTTGATAACAAATTTGTTATCTTATATTATTCTAGAAAAGGCAACAGTGTGGCTTATTTTTTACAACTGGTGTGTAGCCAGAAATGGTTTTCAAATAATACCAACCATGGCACAGACACTCACCAATCAGAACAAATACAGGCTGTACGTAATCCTAGTAGAGCCAGCTGGGCATCGCTGGTTACTGGCATACCTTCCTCTCTTCTACTGTCTTTCCACTATCACAAGATTCCACCTTCTGGAAAGCTGAGGATAGGCTGTACCAGCATGTTAAAACACTCCTCAGTTAGCAGCCACTGATGTTATGGGTGGTGGCTCTTCTTCCTTCCGCTCTTTTGTAAGCCACAAAGCAAAGAATGAGGAAGGAGTAATTGACAATTCTAGGGCCAACAAGGACATAAGTCATCAGGGTGTAAAACAAAACCGTCCTCAGCACACAAAGGACCACAATCTAACCATCTACCTAGTATACCATTCAATAGAGGTCAGCTTGGGGCTTGTGAGAAATAAACATCTACAAAAACTGATGTGCTTATTGGGTAAACTTCAAATTCATTACTTTTGATACCATGAACAAACGTCAAGAAGTAATTCTTTCTACCCCCATATACTTATCTTTATCCTCCCCTGGTCTTCAATGGGAGTCTGATCCATTGGAGATGGATGACACCTCCCTTTTCCATAATCTAATTGCAGATATTAGATACTAGTATTGCAGTTTAGCTTATACACAATCCTTCTCTCTTTCCTGTGTATTTGTTCTGTTTCCCTACATAGGCTTTGAGGTCCTTGAGGATAATAAGCATGTTGTCTATCGGATTGCTGATTAGTTACTATGCGCTTATGACAAACATATTGAATGATTGATTAAAGCTACCCAGAATTTGAATGACACAAAATAGTATTATTTTTTCCTGTATTATTATGACAAGGTTTTGTAAAGTTCTAGTCCACATTTGCCTTTGACCTGAACAGCTCAAGGTACTTTATCAAATGAATTTTAGAAATTCATAGTAGGGAGTGTTAGTTCTACCTTACATTCTGATAAGGGAGAAACAGAAAGGAAAATGCTTGGAAAAAGAGGCTGCTTCAGTAGGTTGGAATTGCGTATCCACTTATGTGTATGAAAACATTTTAATACTTACATATTTTACCAGGAGTCTATGGGAAGCAGCTGGTGCACTGCACAGAGAGTTGGAAGGCGATTCTGAAGCTTCATGCTCCAACTGGCTCTGAAATAACCAAACAAGGAAACCAAGCAAGTCATTTAATCTCATAAACTCCCATGTGTTTACCTGTAGGCAGGGCTGTTGGATGTGGTAGATATTTTATTCATTTATTCTAAAATAGTTTTTATTAATTATTAAACACTTTCAGATGAACACTTGTATGCCTAGGTAGACGAGACAAAAAGACAAAACACTCAGGTATTCTCTACCCAGCAGAGTTAGCCATCTTTGGATCCCCTTAGGCCCCATCCTCTGTCATACCCTTTAGTAAAAAGCATCATCATTCTGTCTCTTTTTGAAAATGTTACCTCATTTGATAGATTCCCCAAAAAACGTATTGTTTCATTTTCCATGTTTTGAAATTTACCCAAATGGAATTATACTATGTTTATTCTCCTGCTGCTTGCATTTTGTGCTAAACATTACATTTATGTTACATGCAGTTGTAATTAATTCATTTTTACTGCAGTATAATATTCCAGTGCATGGATATAATGCAATTAATTCCAGTGTTGTACTATCACTGCTATGTTTGTTATACACCTCTGTTGGTACACATTTGTAAACATTTTTTCCAGAGTATATGTCTTAGAAGTGAAATTGCTGAATCTTTGATTGTGTACTTTTTATAATTTACTATACCATGTCTGTTTCTCAAAGTGGTAGAAGCAATTTACACACAAAGCAGCAGGGGATAAGAGGGTCCACTGCTCCTCAACCGCTCCAAGAATTGATTTTTTTTAAAATAACTTTCACATGTGTATAGGCCACTTATGTTTCCTTTTCTGTGAATTTTTTTTTTTATTTGGTTGTCTTTGTCTTAATCATGAAATTTCTTTGTGTGTTCTGGGTAAGCATGCCATGTTGATTATTTGTGCAGCAGCCATCTTCCCTGCTGTGGCTTGTCTTTATTTTCTCTCAGTTTCTCTCTTTCTCTCTCAATAAATGGAAATTCTGAATTTTAAGGTTGTGGAATTTATCAATCTTTTCATTTATGTTTCAGGAAACTGTTCTCAATCTCTGGGAATATCTCTGTGGGAGAACAGACATAGTCTCCTATTTTGTCTTACAAATGTTTATCGTGTTTTCTTTCATTTTTACATTTAGACCACCTGGAATTGGTTCATTATTTGGTGTGAGGAAGGACTCCAGCTTCATTTCTAACCATTTAGATAACCAAATATCCCAGTACCAAGTAATAAAAAAATCCACTCTTTACCCACTGAACTTCAATACTACCTCTGTCATATGTCTAGTGTTCATATGTGTGCTTCTCTATTCCAGGGTTCTCTTCCTGTTTCAACATCATATTGTTTATCTCTGTGCCAATATCACATTGTCTTCATTTCTATAGCTTTATAGTAAATGCTGATCTTTTATAGAGCTAATCCCCCACCTTCTTTTTTAAGAATGCTCTTGCTATTCTCGGCCCTGTGAACTTCCACATTCACTTTAGAACTAGCTGTAGGCTGTCAAGTTCCATGGGGGTGGAGGGAAGAAAACAGCAGCAGCAGCAACAACGACAAAAGAAAACCCTTCACACTTCACAGGAATCAGGCTGAATCTATCGATCAATTTGGAGAGATATTTTACAATGTTAAGTGCTCTGAGCCACGACAATATATCTCTTCATTAATTCAGGGTTTTTTAAATAAAGATTTCATTTTCTCCCTAATTATTGCATATATTATGATAGCTTTATTCTTAGTTACTTGATATTTGTCAATGTTATGTTTTAAAATTGGTTTATTTTTCTGTTTGTCACTGATATATAGAATAGCAGTTATTTTATGTTGATTTCCTATCTAGCAACCTTGCTAATATATCTTCTTAATTCTAATAATTGATCTATCTGTATCTTTCTTTGAGTTTACTATGAAGACAACCCTAAAGTTTTTCCCTTCCTTTCTAATTGTTACGCATGTGATGTCTTTAAATTGCCTTACTGCAATGGCTAGGTCATCATGGACAGTATACAAAAAAGTAATAACTGCATGCATACTTTCTTCTTCCCTTTCTTTACCATAAAGAATAATATTTGCTGAAAACTTTTTTGTAGTTTTTATCAGATAGAGAAACTTAAAGTCTATTTCTTATTTGCTAAAGAGTTTTTATTTTTAAATCATGAATGGATGTTAAATTTTATCAAGTAGTTTCTTTTCTACATCCATAGAAATAATCATATTGTTTTGCTCTTTCTTCCATTATTGTAGTGAATTATACTAATCAATTTTCTAATGTTAAACCAAACTTTCATAACTATCATAGACCAAATTAGATAATGAGATATGCTATTTCTTATGTGTGTTAAATTCAGTTTGCCAATATTTTCCAAAGAATTTCTGTCTTTATATTCAAGAGTAAAACTGGCCTGTAATTTGTCTTTCATTTTATTTCCTTTTCTGATTTGGCATCAAAGTTATACTTGCCTCTTCAAAAGAGTAAGAAGTGCTCCCATTTTCACATTTTTTGGAAATGTTTATGTAAGGTTGAAATCATCTGTTCCTTGAGTGTTAGCAGGGAAGATTTTTGAACTACAGATTAATGCTTCTAAGACTATACTAATTTTCCATTTCTTCTTGAGTCAATATATTTTTAGCAATTTTTGCACTTCATCTAACTTTTAACTTCTTTTGTCATAAAGTTGGTTCATAATATTTTTCATTATCTTTTAAATCTCTGACCCTTCTTTAGTTATCTACATATTTTATTTGGCATATTTTTTTTTTCTTATTCCTCTTACCACAGTTTTGTCAATCTAATTAATATTTACAAAGAGCCCTCATTTGGCCTTGTTGATTCTCTTTGTTTTCAATTTATATATCTACTGCCTTTGAGTTTATTCTATTGTTCTTTTTTTATTTCTAAAATGGGATGCTGACATCATTAGTTTTCAGTCTTTTTTTCTCAAGTGCAAATACATGAATTTAAATTAACTTTCAAATCCTAGTTTAGCTGCATCTCACAAGTTCTGATATTTTCATTAAGGTTTAGTTACACAGATAGTTTTATTTGTATTATGATTCCATTTTAACTCATGGGTTATTTAGTAAATATGGCTTTTAAAGTTCCACACATATGATTTTGTCTACTTTTTTAAGTAGAAACAGAGAATAAAAACATTTTGTAGTCAGATAGCATGCTCTATATGTTGTCAAAATCCTTTGAAATTTGTTAAGACTTGCTTGGTAGCCTAAAAGGTGATCATTTTTCATAAATTATCCACATGTGTATAAAAGAATGTGGATTTTAGAGTTAATTATAAACGTTTTCATTTTATCAAATTTAATTATAGTATTCAAATATTCTACGTTTATTGTCTTTATCTGTTTGATCTGTTCATTACTAAAATTGATATGTATTACCTTTTCACCATGATGGTGGACTTGTCTTTAATTCCTCATACTTTTAACAGCTTTTACTTTAACTATGTTGTGGTTACTTTATTAAAGTATGCAAGTTTAGAATTTTATGTCTTCCCATTGCCTTTGAAAACTGGCACAAGACAGGGATGCCCTCTCTCACCACTCCTATTCAACATAGTGTTGGAAGTTCTGGCTAAGGCAATCAGACAAGAGAAAGAAATAAAGGGTATTCAGTTAGGAAAAGAAGAAGTCAAAATGTCCCTGTTTGCAGATGACATGATTGCATATTTAGAAAACCCCATCATCTCAGCCCATAATCTCCTTAAGCTGATAAGCAACTTCAGCAAAGTCTCAGGATACAAAATTAATGTGCAAAAATCACAAGCATTCTTACACACCAGTAACAGACAAACAGAGAGCCAAATCATGAATGAACTTCCATTCACAATTGCTTCAAAGAGAATAAAATACCTAGGAATCCAACTTACAAGGGATGTAAAGGACCTCTTCGAGGAGAACTACAAACCACTGCTCAGTGAAATAAAAGAGGACACAAACAAATGGAAGAACATACCATGCTCATGGATAGGAAGAATCAATATCATGAAAATGGCCATACTGCCCAAGGTAATTTATAGATTCAATGCCATCCCCATTAAGCTACCAATGACTTTCTTCACAGAATTGGAAAAAACTGCTTTAAAGTTCATATGGGATCAAAAAAGAGCCCGCATTGCCAAGACAATCCTAAGTCAAAAGAACAAAGCTGGAGGCATCACGCTACCTGACTTCAAACTATACTACAAGGCTACAGTAACCAAAACAGCATGGTACTGGTACCAAAACAGAAATACAGACCAATGGAACAGAACAGAGCCCTCAGAAATAATACCACACATCTACAGCCATCTGATTTTTGACAAACCTGACAAAAACAAGAAATGGGGAAAGGATTCCCTATTTAATAAATGGTGCTGGGAAAATTGGCTAGCCATAAGTAGAAAGCTGAAACTGGATCCTTTCCTTACTCCTTATATGAAAATTAATTCAAGATGGATTAGAGACTTAAATGTTAGACCTAATATCATAAAAATCCTAGAAGAAAACCTAGGTAATACCATTCAGGACATAGGCATGGGCAAGGACTTCATGTCTAAAACACCAAAAGCAATGGTAACAAAAGTCAAAATTGACAAATGGGATCTAATTAAACTAAAGAGCTTCTGCACAGCAAAAGAAACTACCATCAGAGTGAACAGGCAACCTAAAGAATGGGAGAACATTTTTGCAATCTACTCATCTGACAAAGGGCTAATATTCAGAACCTACAAAGAACTCAAACAAATTTACAAGAAAAAAACAAACAACCCCATCAAAAAGTGGGCAAAGGATATGAACAGACACTTCTCAAAAGAAGACATTCATACAACCAACAGACACATGAAAAAATGCTCGTCATCACTGGCCATCAGAGAAATGCAAATCAAAACCACAGTGAGCTACCATCTCACACCAGTTAGAATGGCAATCATTAAAAAGTCAGGAAACAACAGGTGCTGGAGAGGATGTGGAGAAATAGGAACACTTTTACACTGTTGGTGGGATTGTAAACTAGTTCAACCATTATGGAAAACAGTA